TGTCAGTAGCAGAGAGAGAGAGAGAGAGAGAGAGAGAGAGAGAGAGAGAGAGAGAGAGAGAGGCCGCATGCACCACCGCCAAGCCCCGAACGCCGCCGCCACCCGTCCACCGTCCATCGCCGCGACACCGATCTTTGTCGCGCGCCCGCCATCGCCGCGCAGGCGGCGCAGCGTTTTAGTGCCCGGCCTCAGCCGAACACGGCCGAACACGGCCGAACGTGGCCGAACGCGACCGAACGTGGCCGGAGCGGCCATGACGGCCACGCCGTGGAGGCCGCCGCAGGGGAGGCTGGGGCAGGCCGTGTGGATGGGTCCGACGCGTCTGTGCTAGAGACCCACGCCCGCCTCGGGTGCCGACAGGGGGAGGACTACGGAGGGGCAAGCGAGGACGACATCGAAGGTGCGGAGGGACCATCCACGAGACGACATCGGCGGCGAGGCCAAGGACTGTGAATCTCGGAGTACGCTGTGCGTAGGAGGGGGGGGGGGGGGGGTTGTGGGACGATGATGGGTGGTGCGGGGCCCAGCGGTGAGGGGACTGGCGGTGCACGGGGGACTGCGGGTGGGGGATTCGTCCCGCAGTCTGATAGGGAGATGAGGAGGTTGAGGTGGGGCAACTCGAATTGGAACTTCGTCACCGCGGGGCAACTTGTCGGGGACCAGTCGAAGATGCATGGGGACCGGAATTTGCGTTGCAACTTTTGCAACCATGTGTGGCAGGGGAATGCGACGAAGGCCGCCCGCCATTTCACGCAGCCCAAGTATTGCAAGATTGCGGGGATGAGAGTTCTCGCGGACATCTGGAACAACACGGGGTACACGTTCGTGGACAAGACTGCTCAGCGGGTCTAGAGGTGGATGGCAGACGAGGGGATTCGGGATACGAGATCGACCACGGGTGGGCAGCGGCCACGGGCAGATGAGGCAGAGAGGGACGAGATGCAGGACTTCCTCGATGCACAGGAGGGGGGCGAGGGCGGGGTCGGCGAGGCGGGGATGCGAGACGAGGCAGCTGGACGCTGCGAGCCCGATCTGCCTGAGGAGGAGGTAGTGATGACATCGAGAGCGGATGGCCCGGCGGGACGCGGTGCGAGGGCGTCACGACCTGAGTTGGAGCGCGCTAGGAGGGAGAAGAGGAAAGTGGGGGAGGAGGACGTTGACGTGCGGGACATGGCGAGGGCACATCAGACGACGATCGACGAGCTGTACGCGAAGGAGAAGTTGAGCGAGTTCACTGACGTGTGGCTGCAGTGGATCTATGCGAACGGGTTGCCGTTCAACGCCTTCAGAGGGTCGGAGTTCCAGAGGGTGCTTCAAGCGGCGGAGAGAGTCCCCCGCAACGTTCACTTCCAGTTTCCCTCCTACAGGGTTACAGCGGGCGCAGGGATGCCTTCGCAGAGGGGGAAGGTGGCGACGATGGTGAGCGAGGTGCGGGCCGCTTTTCGGCACACCGGTGCCATCATCCTCTCCGACGGAAGGAAGTCGCGTAGCGGCAAGCCGCTCATGAACTTCCTGGCCGGGGGCGCCAACGGCGCCCTGCTATATGCGACCGTCGCAGGTGACGGGTCAGTCGCTGACACGGCGGATGTAATGTATCGCAGGTGGTGGGCCATCATCTTGTCCTTTCCTGCAAAGGACGCGATCGGCTTCTGCACAGACTCCGCCAGTAACTATACGGCGGCCCGCAGATTCGCCACCGACCCCGACGCAGACATCAGGAGGATCGCTTGGCTTCCCTGCTCCACCCACGTCTGCAACTTGATGTTGTCAGACGTCGGGACGCGAGTGGGGTGGGTCAAGGAGACCATCATCCGTGCCCGAGCGTTAGTGCGATTTATTAAATCACACGGCGCTGCGTTCGCCCTTTTCAGGAGGATGAGCCCTCGTGTCACGCTGGTTGAGCCCGTTGAGACCCGGTTTGCATCAGTTTTCCTGATGCTGACGTGTCTCAAAGGCCGGCGGGACGCGTTAGAGAGCATGCTGCACGGCGACGCGTGGGCTCGCGTCCCGTGGGAGCGTAGGCTTGTCTCCCAGGCACAGTGGGTTCAACAGCAGATCCGTGACGGCGAGTTCTGGCGATGCGTTGACTGTGCCATCCGCGTTATGTCGCCCATCCACCAGCTCTTGAGGAGGATGGATAGAGGGGGGATGATGATGTTCATCGTTTACGAGTGGAGTCGGCATCTTCTGGAGTTGACGAGGAGGGTGGATATGCCGGCGGACATGGTCGAGCCGTGTGTGCGCGAGGTTGCCGTCCGCAACCTCCACATGGTCGAGCCCGCACATGCTGCGGCACACCTCCTCAACCCTCGCCGCCGGTCCCTCCGATATTATGAGTCATTGCAGACGACCACCGACAACGCCCGTGTGGTCGAGGAGTGCGACAGATTTCTGCTCGCACAGACTGGCGGTGATCCGGTCGGCAGACTGTACAGGATAGTCCGTGACTAGATCAGGCATTTCCACTCGCGGCGGGGAGATTGGGGAGATCGGCAGTTGTCCGATGCCGAGGCCGATGACTGTCAGGGGGACCGCGAGACTGAGCGTTGTGCCTAGTGGTGGTTTGATCACGGACGTCATCACCCTGAGTTGCGCACCATCGCCCTCCGTGTGATGCACTTGTGGACGTCCGCCTCTTCTGCGGAGAGGAACTGGGCGCAGCACGAGCGCATCAACACGGCGAGGCGCCACAAGCTTGGCTTTGCCAAGCTTGCACAGCTGGTTGAGATTGCCACCAATCTCAAACTGGCCGGGTGCGCACAGCAGGGTAGTGGCTACGTGTTGCCCTGGGTTATGGGGACCGGTCAGGAGGAGACCGCGGGAGGGCAGGAGGACGACGAGGGGGACGTGGATCCCGAGGTGTGGGGAGCGCGACCTGCTGGTAGTTTCAGTGAGCAGGACATCGAGCGCCAGGTCGTCGCTTTCCATGCTTGTCGACCGTCCAGAGACGACCCGATTCAAGACGTGTTCGGGAAGAGGGCAGTGGAGCTACGGCCGTGGCCGGAGTAGACGTCGGACGCTGATGCGGACGGCGACACGTAGGACGACGAGTGGACGGACGATGACGACGCTCCGGCGACACGTAGGTGGACGGACGATGACGACGCTCCCGTCAGGGGCGACGCGACGGCGAAGGTGGTCTATTTCACGTACGGCGGAGGACTTGACGGCATGACTCCACACGCATCCGTCATCACTGACGATGTGTCGTCCAGTGGTCAGGCCAGTGGCACCGGCAGAGCCGGTGGTCATCGTCGACGACGACCTCGTGCCGACGAGCATGTGGAGGAGCAGGAGCCACTCCGAGGCCTTCAGCAGACGGGCAGACGTTGGGAGGTCAGGAGCGACAACGAGCCGGAGGGGGCGAAGGAGGAGGAGGAGGTGCGGCTTCGGTATCGTCGGTTCTCTCCCTCTCATCATCGAACTACGGGACCGTCCGAGCCTACCAGGCCGAGGACAAGGTCGGCATCGGCAGCGGAGAGACAACAGACACCAGCGACCGAGCACTATGAGGGGACCGGGCTTGCGGACATTCCGGAGATGGAGAGGACTCCATCCTGCGCTGGTGTCCGCCACCGCTCGCCGTCCGAGCTGCGCACCGACGACTTCTACGTCGGCGGCTCTGGCGGGGGTTTGGGGGATCTTAGTGCCCCGAGATAGGGGGGTGCCTCACTGTCGGACATGCTCCTCGACGATTCCGATGTGCGGGGCCATGTAGAGACCGCGGAGGAGCGGGATGCCCAACTGGACAGGGAGGAGGAGGAGCGGCTGCGGACTTTGCCGAGATGGAAGGGTCGTTTCGCATATATGGAGAAGCAGCGCCGACTGAGGGAGTTGGAGACAGGGGGGGGTGGCGGCGGTGACGGAGGCGACGTGGGTTTTGGTGGGAAGGCTGATGCGGGGGCGGCCCGACAGGGTGTCCCCACGGGTGTTGAGGGAGATGGTGTCGCCGTGGGTGGTGGGGGGGAGGGTGGCGGCGAGGACGAGGACGAGGACGAGGAGGGGTCCGACCACGGAGACGACCATGGCGACGACGGCGACGACGGCGATGACGACGGTGACCACGACGACGACGGCGGCCACGGCGACGACGGTGGTGACGGCGGCGGCGAGAGAGAGAGAGAGGGTAGGCTGGCTTTGGTCTTGAGGGACTCGTCAGTGCCTTCACTACCTCTCACACGGCCCGAGGCCTTCGCGCAGGCTGGTTTTGATGCCGACGATTTGGCGCGACTCGGTTCACATGACCCTTTCCCCCACACGGGCCGCAGGAGCGGCGAGAGGCGCCCTCCTGGAGGGGTGGATTCGCCCCCGCCCTACATCATGGATAGCCCTAGATGGTCAGGTTCTTCGCTCAGCGACATTAGAGGGAGGGAGTCCTGGCCGGTTGATGGCGGGTCGGGCCGCCGCAGTGAGGGCGGCGGATCTGCCGGATCGATGCCTCCGCCACCCGCACGGAGCACGGAGGGCGGCGCCGACGTGACTACGGCCCGTGCGCCCGTTGCCGGTTCCCCGCCGCCTGTCGCAAGTGGTGTTGCCGGCGAATGGGCAGCTCATCGCCGGGTCTCGGACCGGATGAGGGCGGATTACGACGCCGGGAGGGGCGTCTTCGCAGGACGTTTGTCACCTCGGTTTCAGGTTGCGGGCAGCAACGAGGTTGGCTCCGGACGTCCGAGTCTTCACATGGCAGGCCGCATGCTCGGTTTGTCTCGATCATCGACGAGGAGAGTTTTGATCCCACCGCCGATTTCGGCCCGAGGGACAGCTGGGGACATGCAACAGGGTCAGCACTACACATCCGACGAGGAGGGGTTGCTGATGCCTCGTGCGACTAGACGACACAGCGCCGTCACCACCCAACCCCCGCCCAACCCCCGCCCAACCCCCACGCTCCTGATGTCCAAGCTCAAGTACCTAGTATCCCACCGCTTGCAGTGGGAGACTATGTACTTGCACTTCAACACTTGAACCCAAACCC